GTAGTCGTTAGACCATTGACCTCGCATCCCTACAAAGCCGGGACGGAGCACGCCGGGTTCTCACCGGACCAGGCTCTCACATCACCAAGCGCGAAGCGCCGTGAGATATTCGGCGAGTCGCATGAAGGGTGCGCTGCATCCTGCTAAGGTGCTCGCAGTGGGAGCGCCTTAAAAAAACAACCAGCCGTTTAAAATAGTCACACCCGGATGTGTCAATGCTGTCGACCGCATCCCACAATTCATCCCCCCCTCCCTCTCTCTGCTTTCTCCTCCCCCTCTCGGCAAACTGTTCCTCCTCGACCTCTAGAAGTACCAATCCTGTTATATTCGGATCACGCTTCTGCATCATCACGTGCCAAAACGCGGAACAATCCAAAACACGTCGAGAAAAATCGATGATCATCACCTGCGGGACGCTGATTTCGGCATCTCTCGTGAGGTTAGACAGGTCATCCACCAGGTTCAGCCATGGCTTGACGTCCCTCCGAATGCCCGCGGCAATGGCGCTGCTCTCCTCGCCCCCACCGCCATCGTCGGCCTCCCCAGAAGCGGCGCCACCTGCCGATTTCTCCTCCAGAGACATTTTGCTCTGATCCTTCCTTTTCCTTTCGTCTCTCGGCAATGGACGTTGGGTGGTCAGCAACCTCGTTGAAAAACCTCTCGCCTTCGACGTGAGAGCTGTAACCCCTGTGACACAAGGCGGAGCAGAGAGGACCTGTCTGTAGAGCGGCGCTCGGCGACTGCGGGGCGATGGCGGAGGGGGATCGCGATGGGGAAATTGCCCATACCCTCTGGGGCCTACCCTTTGCATACCTCTAGTCATCGGACAGCGGAGCCCCTGGCGGAGAGATGTGCGGATCTGCAACGACACACACAGCACATTAGAAGGCACAGCAAGCATGGTCCAGGTGGAAGATAATCAAACCAGCAGCAGCCGTGATGGGTCCCCGCCTCTTCATCCAGCAGAAGCCTCGACGCCGCCGCCGCCACCACCACGAGAGCAGGCCAACAACAACAAGCCGTCCGCGTCGGCAGTCCTCGCCCAGTGCCTCAAGCTCCTGAAGGGCCAGTCCGATGAGCACAAGTTCGCGGGGCTAGTGATGGTGACCAAGCACGTCCCGGCTCTCACTGCGTATGAGAGCGTACGAGCTGACAGCAGCGGTTCTCCTTCCGCTTCCGCCGGTGGCGGCGAACTCCGACAGATTTGCAACGCTGTCGGCCCGGCCTTTCTGCACCGATTGCTGAGGACCCCAGGAGATAAGAGCAGCGGCGGCGGCAGCGGTGACGATTGTGGTGGTGGTGCTGTCGGTGGGCTTTCGGTGTACCAGCAGATCGCGCTCGGCGTTCTGGCGGCCCTCTTCCAGGACGAGAGCCTGGTGAGTCGATGCTCGAGCGCTGAGTTTTTGTGTGCAGCCCTCTTACGGCCGCTGCAACCGAAAAGCCCACTGCTGCTGTGCTCATCTCCTACAGATAGACCACAGCCTCAAGTGTTGCATGTCGTGGTACAGCGGCAGTCTTGCGGCAATGAAGAGGGAGAAGATGGCACTAGCAACAGGTTGGGGCGAATCTACGTTGTCCCACTAGAATGTGGCGTCACAACAAGGACATCGTGCTAACGCCTTGATGATTACAACGCCGCCTTTCGCACCACCACCCTTGTTCTGGATTTTCAAGATTTCAAGAATTCAAGATTTCAAAATTTCAAAATTCAAAACGTTCGTCTCGTAACCGCCGCCTTCGCTCGCCACCGCCCCGTGTGCCTCCTCCGCCCCCGCCGACGATAAAAAAACAGGTCCCGAAGTTTGTTCCCACCGCCCCGGCCCTCGTGCGCGCTCTCCGCGCAGCCGACGCGGCGACGCAGACGCAGGGGCTCTGCGACGCTCTCTACTGCACCCAGGCCATCGCCGGCGTGCCCGGCGGCATGGCGCGGTTGCTGAGGGCCGGCGCTGCGCCGGCCGTCGTAAGCCGCCTCTCGGCTGCAAGCGGAGAACGGGCGGCGAGGGCGAACGAGGAGAGGGATTTCGGTGGCGACCAAAGCGGTGGTGGTGGTGCCGGCGTGGAAGAAAGCAAAGCGGGAGGGCCACCGCCCCTACCACCGGGAGAAGATGGGCAAGCCGCCGCCGACGCGACGAGGTCGGCGGGCTCTCGTTCGTCGGCGTCGGCGGGGCTTGGAGGCGGGGGCGGAGGCGGCGGCTGCGGCGGCGGCGGCGGCGACGATCCAAAGGGCGATGGACGCGGAGGTCCAGCGGGCGGGGACACCCCGGCGGCGGAGGCGGCGGCGGAGAGGTCGGAGGCCCTAGCGCTCGCCTTCGTTGGGCGCGCGCTCGAAGCCTCGGGCGGCGGCTGCCTGGGCTCCCGCGAGCTCACGGCCATCGCGGAGGCGTTCCGAGACGACCCGACCCCGGCCAAATTTGGCTTCTTGGACCTCTTGCTGCGGTGGGCGTCTCTACGAGAAGAAGAATCGGCGCCTTTTCCAGCAGGGGGCGACGGCGGGGTCGGGGCGTGGGCTCGGGATGGGCCGTTCCCCGCCGCCCTTCGGGAAGGGCTGCTGCAGGCGCTCCACGGCGCGGCTGAGGACGACCGCCGGGACTCGGCTCTCGCGCTGCTCGCGTCGCTGCTTCGCGCCGTGGGACAGGGGTGGGCTGTGGAGGAGGACGGAGAGGAACCCGGCAACGGCGAAGGTGGTGGGGGAAGCGCCGTTGTGGGTGAGCAACAAAGAAGCAGCAACGGGGTGAAGAAGAAGAGAGTAGCGAAGAGAAAACGAGGGACGTTCGTAGCGTTCGCCGTCAGGTGCGCCGCGGGCGAGGTTCGCATCCTGCTGGACGAGGCGCTGTCCCTGTTCGTACCGGCAGCGGCGAGAGGGGGGGCGAGGGCGTCGGATGGGGACGAGGACGCCGGCCCCGGTACCGGGCAGAAAGCGAGAGGCGCCATGGGTCCGGCGGGGGCAGACCCTTCAATAGGGATCGCGGCCGAGATAGCCGCTGCGAAAGCTGCTGCTACCGGAAAGGGTGGAGAGCAGGGGGAAGGACAGCGGCCATCACCAGCACCGCGATGTCCCCTTCCCGCGTCGCAGCTCAAGGCGATTAAGGAGCAGCGTGCGGCAAGGCTGCTGCGCATGGTTCCCGTCGGTCTCGGGGTTGCCGAATCGACCATTGCTTTCCTTTGTGGAGGGGGGGGTGGGGAGGAGGAGGGGAGCGAGGGAGGCGGAGAAAGCAGCAATAATCGATGGCAGGAGCTTCCCATCGACACGCTGCAAGACCTGCAGAAGGTGAGCTTCATCAAAGGTCGCCCTCCTGAAGCGGTAGCGTTCGTTTGTGGTCGTAGCGTTGTTGCTCAAGCACCATCTGCCCTTACTTCGTATAGCCTGCTCTCCCGCCCGAATTGCTTTCTTTGATCCAGATGCCCCCCCTCTCTCCATACTCTGCTGTTTCGAACGCAATCCCCGCTCTGCACCCCAAGACTCTGGTGGGCCTCTTCGGTTGCGTGCTGGACTTCTTGTCGGAGATCCGACGCTGGGTCCTCGCCGTGTCTCATTCGACCGGCGGTGACGCCGACATCGGCTCAGCCTCGGCGGGGCCGTCCATCGTCGACCTGTGGGCTCTGCACAGGCTCGGGCTGGAGTGCTCGCGGGTCCTCGGCGTGTGGGTGGCGGAGGATCCGGAATCGCTGCCGCAGAGGTTCCTGGAGGCGTTGCCTGTGCTGCTGGCGCTCAACGCGGGCGAGGAGGCAAGACTGTCTGCAGCTTTTTGTTTTTGCTTTTTGGTTCGTTGAGGTATGCTGGGTTGTTGGGAGTCAAGAACTGTCGGAGTCAAGAACACGTCGGCTTTGTCAGCGGTTCGAGCTTGGGAAAACGTCAGCTGGCAGCTGATCCACACCAACATTTTTTTACTTTCATGTTGCATCACGCCTTGATGACACTACTACTATGCTTTGACGAGCCCACCACGGAGGCTCGGCGTGTTATGGTGATCATGTGTAAATGGTGTGGAGTTGACTTGGGGCATGCGGTTGGCTGGTGTACCGCCTCACCGAGAGCGCACGGGGGCAATGCTGAAGAAGAGAACGGTTGTAAGCAATGATGATGGTTGTTTTTCGTGCGCTCGTGTATGTGTTGACTCGTTGTCCCACGGGTAACCGCGTTCCTGACAGCGCCTACCCCCTGTCCCGTTCTTGGCTTGTACGCCTTCGACCCACCTTTTGAAAATATTGCCCGATGTTCTGGAAGCCCCCTGACTCGGACGATGAGGAGAGCTACGACGACGACGACGACGACGACACGTCGGCGACCGTGACGCCAACGCTGGCGGCCTTCCCGGGAGCCGCCCGATACCTGGCCGGCGGCGCTCGGGCGGGCCACGCCGCGTCGGCGTCGTCCGTTACGCGGCCGGACGAGGCCCTCCACAACATCTTGCGTGCGATGCTGGCGCTCTCGTACGAGCCGACCCCTCTAGCGGCCATGGTGGAAGAGGGCGTGGCGGCCCGCCTCGCCCGCCTTGCCGCCGCGGGGCTGCCCGCGATCGCCGCGCTGCTGCTGCTCGGCAGGACGAGCAGCAGCGCTGACGATGACGGCGGCGAGCTGCCGACTTCGCCGCCGGAGCAAGTATCGGAGGCGGTGCGGTCGCCGCTCGTGAGCGCGTGCGGGCTGCTGACGAACATCCTTACCTCCGCAGGCCACCTGGCGTGGCCAGAGGATCGGCCGGCGGCTGCCGGCGGCAGCGGCGCGGCGCGGAGACGAGGCGCCGGGCGCCAGCAGCCGCGGGGGGCGCCGAGACACCCCGTCCTCGGGCACCCGGGCATGGGGCAGTGCCTGGCGTCGCTCGCCGAGGTGGCGGGCGCCGCCGGCGCTGCCCGGCGCGCCGGGGGCGGGGCTCGCTGGCGGCTGCTCGCCGCGCACGCCACCCTCGTCGTGATGACCGTGGCCCGCGCGGCCACGCCGGGGAACGGCCTGGCGCCGGCGGCCGGCCTGGCCGGCCGGAGGCCACGGCGGTGGTCGGGAGAGGAGGGCGACCCGCCAGGCGACGGTGCGTCGCCGTCCGTCTGGGAAGGGATGGCACGGGCGGTGGACGAGGCCCTGGGGTCGTTGAGCGCGACCCCCGGTAGGGGATTGATCGGTGGCGGGAGGGGGGGAACGGGGGAAGAGGAGGAGGAGGAGGCGAGCTACGAGGAAGGTGCGATCTGGCAGTGGTGCCTCGAGTGCGCGAGGGAGATCGAGGTCGCTCCGGGCGGGGTGACGGGGAACGCGTACGTGTCGTGCGGGGTCGTGCCGCGGAGGTTGCTCAGTAGCCTGAAGGAGGCCTCTGCTGATGGCAGGATCTAGCGACCTTTGTGTGGTGGTGATCCGTGGGCAAGCGGGTTCTCGGTCATCAGGATTCATTGGAATACACCGGGCATGGTTTTATAGAGATTTGTTTTGTTTCGGCGTCGAAGGGACTGCACCATTGTCTACCATGTTTTGAACGGGGTGTGTGTGTCGTCCTTTTGTGAAGGGGGAGGAGAGCAGGATTTGGCGCTGTATCCTGGTTCAGCGGGTGTCGAGCGTGCTACACCCAGCTGAACCTAACAAAATGTTAACGTATGTGCTCTGCGCGTGTAGCTAGAATACGAGCGGAGGTCAAGTTTCGGGGCTACCCGGTTTTGTTCGGAATGGCATCGATGCTCTTTGTGGTTTGGCGTGGCTGGACTGCTTGGGCTGAGTGTTGTTCTAGACGTGTTTGTTGGGGTATCGCATGTTGTTGCTATCGTCATATAAGTAATCATGGCCGATACCCTGCACGTCCTCGTTCCTACGGCGCTCTTCGAGGCAAAGAACGAAATTGCCTTGGGCGTATTCTCCACGCTCCCACGCCACAAGTGGGCTCTGTGTCATATGTCGATAAGATTTAAGATGTACACTCCTTTCAGCACACTTTAGAATTTGATTCAGTTAAAACCCCAAGGTACAGCCGGCTAGGTCGGCCTGACCAAACACACCTCCCGCACCACCGGTGAGGATTCTCGCCCGTTGCGATCACTACATGCGAGCCCCCATGACGAGCCCCCATGACGAGCCCCCATGACGAGCAAAAGTGTCCACGCTAGCGGTCTAGCCGTGCTTGGTGGTTGGGCAACAATGGAGTTATGTGTATGAATTCTTCCGTTCGACAGCTGAGTTCATCGCGAGCGCTAAATAGTGGAGTCGGTCCTCTTCAAGTCCCCCCGTTGTGTGGTTGAGAACGTGTGCTATGGAAGTGAATTACGGCGCTGCCGCTGCTGCTTTCGTGCGTGCCCTTCCGTACCTCACCCGTCAGGCTCTTCCTTTCATTCTCATCGCCACGCTGTGTTGGGCGCAAGAGAAATTTCCAGCGAAGCATTCGCGAAATCTGCAGCAGTAGATGACCATTGTTCGACGACGGCGGGCACAAAATGCTTGACAGCGAAGGAGCCTTAACGTCAGGAACATCCACACGTCACGTACAGGGTAGAACCACGCCGACGCATTCATGCCCCCTTGCTACTGAAGTTGCAATTTTTCCCGATGACCCTCCGGTCACATGCACCGCGCTCCCGGGCAGTTTTGCCCGTCCGTCGTTCTTGGGTGGAAAGTTGTCAGCCAGGAGAGCAGTGTAGTCCAAATGTCTATGGCGGCCTGAGCTTCTCGGTGAACGTCTCATGTAGCGAGAACCCCAACGAGCGCACATGCGTACGGTAGCTTACAATGGAATACTCCATTTGACAGATACCATATATCACTGTCAGACACTCACGAAAAACGGGGCTGCAACCCCAAAGCAGTAAACTCATGCTGTAGTTTTAACTCTATTTTCAGCTTCATGCCCACGCAAACTTCACGCAGAGCTCTCTAAACGAGGAGGAAAAGAGCACACACAACGCGTTTCGTTTTAAATCCTCGCCCTTCACTTGCATGAGACCACCCCTGTCATTCCTGTCAAGCCCGCCATCCCCTCGTCCGTAAGCTTCCCGTACTTGGGCGGCACTCGAATGAGCCGCGAGGCCTCCGGGTTGAAGTCCGGGGTCTCCGCGAACCGCAAGAACAGGTTGCGGATGCGCTGCCGGAGCGGCCGCAGGCTGGCCTCCCCCCGCCCCCGGCTCAACAGGTCCGCCTCCCTGTCGACCAGCTCCGCGATGTCCCGGGTCAGCCGGCAGTCGAACTCGCTGACGGTCCACTTTAGGTGCAAGAGGACATCTAGGCGCTCTTCGACGCTCAGGAGCGGGGCCTCGAGGGCTTCGTACATGTCCTTGAGTCGATCGATTGGGCAGTTGTCGGGCGGCACGACGCGAAACGACGTTAGGCTACGAAAGTAGACGGTGAAATGACTAGACACGCTGTTACAGTAAATGTCACTTCTTTGTCGTTGAATCTTGCGTGCTACAGACGGCGTGCTGAAAATTTGTTTATGAGTGGCTCCCTTGTCGGCAACAAAATACTAGCAATGCATGGGTGAGGGCTAGGTCGTACGCACGTGATCCGCTGGTTTCTCCCTTGTTTCTCGGCATTTTTCGTTTGATCGACCCCTTTCAACAAGGTGCATCACCTATGCATATCTGGACATGCACTCTAATGTTGGGACGCCATTCAGTATTCACGACAACGAGCCCTTATAGGATGATTTCAGCTGACACATGTCTGACGCGATCAATGTCGCGACATGTATTTGGGTGCAACACAACCACATTAACTACCTGCAGGTCTCGTGCTCGGTTTGTCCAAGGCGTGTGGATCTCTGATACCTCGCCGTCACCCATCTCCCATTGTTTCGAGGCCGACATTAGCTCCAGCATGCGCCTCGTACGGCGTTCCTGCCGAGAATAGTTAGTGAGTCGAGTTGGAAGCAAGCGGAACGTGAGGCAAGGGCCCGGGGACGGGGGTGATGGGGGGCTGACAATGAAGCAGCCTTGGGATTTGATTCAATAGGAACGTTTTGTGCGTTTCGTGTGGGTTTGAACGTGTGTGCAGGGGTGCGTGATTGGGCGGGGTACGCGGATCAGATTTTTTGTAGAACGACCCGGTAGCGGAAACGGACGCACGCCTGTAGCCGACTCGACGAAATCGTCAAGAATGTCGTTGTCATTCAGCATTGGTGGTCGGTGGAGGTAGATACCTTCATCCATGTAATGTAGGTCAGGCAAGAGGACAGACAGGGGCTGCTGCAAGGGAACGTGCGCGAGGGTAACAAGGGCACGCGCCATTATCCGCCTGGAGACCTTATGTTGACAACGTACTAATTTCCCAAATGCGCACCTTGCCCTCGTGCGCCGCCGTAATCTTGAGGCGGTCGATTGTCTGCAGCAGCCTCGTCTCCTTGTGCAAGAGCTCCCGCAGGGCCAGCTTCCGCCGCTCCCCGACCTCCGCTTGCTTGATGCGCTTGGTCTCCGCCTCCCTCCATTGGTCGAGCTCGTTGTAGAGGATCTGATGCGATACACGGAGAGGGTGCGACGGAGGTGTGGCGTGATCTGGCCGCGTTTGTTGCTCGAGAGAATGACGGCTGGCCGTACAGCGATGGTAGGCCAACATGAAGAAAAACTACCAAGGCACGATGTGTCAGCTCGCCTGAGTGTACACAGTAAGCTGGAACCGAAAGCGAAAGCAGGCCATACGCCCCGGGTTGCTCGACCAGAAGCGATGTGATGTGGTGCGATCGTGAACGTGCTGCTTCATCCACCTCTCTACGTTTACTTAGAGCTGCGAAGGTGGCACTAATTCGAGAGTGATGTCGAGAGAATCTGAACGTTGCAGAGCGGTACAAGCATACCCCCCCCACCCGTTCGTCTAGCCGACACTCTTGATTGAACGTCCGGCGCCCACAGGGGCAGAGTAAAAATGACGATTGAAGGCAAATCACTTCATCTCGAGAGTAAACACTCAGGTAAAACCGCTTCCCTGCGGGCATCTCCTCAAACACGCTACAGGTTGTTTCCGGGGAGAACCCTAAGGATGGAGCGTCTGCGCGACATGAACCCGTGCAGCTTCTCCCGTGTCGCTTATCCCAACCGCCACGCGTCCACCATAGTCTACCCCCAGCCGGATGCCTTCTTCGGAGTATATCCTCCCTACCCGCGATGTGCCCTCCCTCACCGAGCCAATGCCCCCAGCCTCAACCAACTGCCAACCTGCCGCTGCCTGTGTCCCACCTCAAAGTCTTGGACGGTGCTGGGGTTCATGCGCCGCTGCATCTCCCGCTGCCTCTCTTGGCTCCTCTGGCCCTCCTCCTCTGCTACCTCTTCCATCTCCTTCTCCTCAAGGGCCCACTTTTTTTCCCGCCGACACCATACACGGCTGCCGACCGGTCGAGCGCCGACACGTCGCGTCAGGATCGGGGGGGGGGCAAACAATCATTTCCCCCCAGCTTTACAGTTTTCGCCCTGCTTCTCTAAAAGTAGCATTGAAATAAAGCCATTTGGATCTGTCTCGATTGAGCGACATGGTCGATCCGCAGATGTGTTGACGCGTATGCATCACAAACGGGCTAGACTAGGCTGTACCTGCGCGCAGAGAATCCCCGCCAAAAGCGCTGTATTGTGACGGTTTTTCGCTCTCGCACTCTCCAATACTCGCCGGCAGTCTGGTACTCGCCCGTGATCTTGAAGGTGTTGCACCCGTCGTCGAAGTGCATGTCCTTGCGGGCCATCTATTGGGTCAGGACAACAGGCGAGCGAAAGGGGGATATTCAGTTCTTCATTGGTGGCAAGGTAGGGTGGGAGCAAGTCCCGAGAAGGAACGTAGACATGTACAGTAGCAACGCTACACGATAGTAGGATCAGGTTGGGACGAACTTTTCCACGCAACGCGAAATGTGTATAGAGAACGCTGAAACACACTGTCATCGTTGGGGCGTTGGGGGCTGCCTGCAACGTATTTTCGTGTGAGGTGCCAGTTGTACCGTGTGCACCATTTGCGTCGACGAGGCGAGAACGCACGTTCCCTGACCAGGAGAGTCGTGCCGGAGATATACTTCTTCACTGCAATTGTGATGATTCTTTAAGTTCGTTCCGCGGTACCAGCAAGAATCCTGGCCATGGATACGACTCTTCCGAAGTAATCTGCTGGGGTGGGGAGTTGTCAGCCATGCGACTACCGTATATGACACAAGACAACACACCCCCTTGACCGATTTTCGAAGCTCGATTTCTCAACTGCCGGAACAGTCACAACGCCGAAAATGGCGGCGTTGAAACCGTCTTGTCGAGGGCTTTTCGAAAATGTATCGTTTTGTTTGTGCATCCTCTTCGTCGTGGAGAAATCGAGCTTTGAAAATCGGTCCAGGGGTGTGTTACCTTGTATCAAATACGGTACCCCGCGGGAGCCCTCCCCCTTCAGTGATACACTCTCTCTCTTCTCTTCCGAGACCTCCTTGCCCTATATCAACAAAAGTATTATCAGCCCCAACAAGAAGAAAAATTCTGTCACCACCTGGGTCCCCTTCTAGCGAGGTAGACCGTGTACTTAGACGTCCACTTTCCGGTATATGTCATGGAGGACCCGATTCGCAGGGTATCCGTTGATTGACTTTTTCCTGAATCGGTACACCTTCGCGTATGGCGTCAACTGGATACTGGTTCGAATCTCCTTGGGTGCACACTTTTTCTCCTGACTAGGATATTTTCCCATGGACGCAGTCCTGAGAACACCTCTTGGAGTCAATCCTACAAAGAACCTTGTGACACTTCCATCGTTACCCATCCTGGCCAAGAGGTTCCCAGTTGAGGGTAAATTCTGTGGGTGGAGAGTGTCAAGGAGGACCCGATTCGCAGGGTATCCGTCGATTGACTTTTTCCTGAATCGGTACACCTTCGCATTTGAATACGGATTCATGCGAAGGTGTACCGATTCAGGAAAAAGTCAATCGACGGATACCCTGCGAATCGGGTCCTCGTTAACATATACATGACCCCATCGCCTAACACAGACCGCTCTAATACGACTATCCCCACCATTGCTCGGAATTAGCCCCCAAGAGGCATTGTATATCTCCCCTTCTCGCGATGACCGCCAAAATGATTTGTTGAACCTGCTACCGGTGACCACTGCATGTTTTTCGGGAACCGGTAGAGAATGGGAGTATCCGGTAGAACAAGAATATAGCTTGGATAGCATCCACGGATCGATGGAGAATCTGCATTTTCCGGAGGGGTTTCGAATGCAAATGCGAAGACCTTTTTTTCTATGCATACGATACATAGGAGCTTTCTTGCTTTGGATGCGATATAAAAATAATACACAAAAACAAGTATTCTGTAGAGGAATTTTTCTAGCGAATTACTCTGCCCAGCCGTACCATGGTACTTCTGGTGATTTATTCACCTGCGTACCACACTCGTTTGTCGTCTGCATGGTTGTCGTTTTGATCTTGCACGTCTGCGTGTCCCGAGTGCGAAGGTGATCGGCGTTCTTCACAGGGCGCTCTCGTTGCCCGAACTGCGTCGACGCGTGGTGAAACAATCTGCCTGTGCCCCTATGCCGGTAACCTCCCTGGAACACTTTTGGCCCCTCGAACCGTTCGATTTTGATAGACATCTCCTTCACCTCCCCTTCGACGAGCACCTTTACCGCGATCTCCTCCGGCATACGGTACATGGGGTCACAGTACTCAGGCCAGGTTGGTGCCGGCGGCACGGATGGGGCCCGGCTGGACGCAGTTCCACCGGCACCACCTGCTCGATTGCCAGCATTTCCGACCCTAGCGCCTCTTGCGTCCATTGCTGGCGATGTGTGCTGCTGTTGCTGCTGTTGCTGCTGTTGCTGCTGCTGCGGTGACAGCGGGGGATCAGATTTTCCTCTGCCCATGTGGTCGACGACCATCACATCATCGGTGGTTGCTCTTTCTGCAACTTTCTCTTGTTCCTTGCCCTCAGGAGTACTAGGAGTTGGTTGGCCGGCAGCATCTGCTGGTTCACTATCCTGGTCGTCGCCCAGGTCGGCACCGACATGTCCACCACCGGTCGTGTCCTGCTGCCCCTGGACATTTGCCGTCTTGCCCCCCATGTCTTCGGCTCCGTGGGTAATCAAGCCGGCCTCATCCTTGTACTCTGCTTGTGCACCCGTTGAACCGACTTCATCGCCATCACCCTCACTCTTGCACTGCTGCTGTTGTTGATTTTGTTGGGTAAGTTCACTCTCACGAGCGTCCGCTGCTTTGCCCTCGGCGCTCGTGACCGGAGTGCCGTCGTCATGTTGGTCTCCTACTGTGGCCTCCATCGCGAGAAAGGGCGTTTCAAGCTGTGGCGCTGATGTGCTTGGTCTATCCCTGACTAAATGTCTTGCGTCGATGGATCGTGCCCTGTCCGTCCAGTGTGGTGTCGATCAAGCGGCAGCAGACCGAGCGTTCGTCGAGTTGAGACCCAAGAGCAAAAAGCAACCGTTTCACACATGCGGCGGAATCATGCGCGGTGCGATTAACGTCCCAACGTCATGATTCACGCTCCACCCGCCACGGCTACCACCCACTTTATCGTTGGGAAGCAAGGAATTCGAAAGGGAAGTGCAATCCTACGATCCTACAACCAACAACCTCAGCCTGTGTGTTGAGGCTTAAGCCAGAGAAACAATGTGGCTCAGGACATCTACAGTTGCCTTCAGTGGTGCGCATGAAGGCGGAGAAATCGCCGCCTCTGCGGATCACAATAGCGGTCCCCACCACGAATGTTCGGCGAACTTTCCACCAGGGGCACCTCAACGCTGGCGGGAAAGGGCGGTCGTTGTGCTCTCCCTCATTGCTCCGAGCGAGACAGAGTAAGTACCACTCCTACACTCACACACAAACACACACACCGAAGTTTCCGCACCCAAGTTCTCCGGCCCGGTGGCTTACCCTTCGGCAAATCTATTGGCTGATCGATAGGCGCGGCGAAGTTGCGGGGAACGAACAAGCTACCGCCGTTCTTGCAGGTATGCGCTGATGTCGGTCTTCCATGTGCTCGCCGATTGCGTTATGAGCGGTGACAATCTATCTGCTGCTATTGTTGCTGATGCTCCTGCTGCGTGTGTCTTCGCTGCGACTGTAGCACATTATCCTGCATCGCAACCCATTCTGGACACTCATATTCGCTTGTGCCGAAACGCTTTACCATGGTACACGTATCAGTCCTCCCACTACATCTGCCATTCAATGCCATCCGATCCTTGGTTCTTCGTGCGCACACCAATAACACGCGGACGCAAACATCACAGGAAGCCCGTACGAGATGATTCTTAGCGAGGGTGAGTGCGATGAAGCTTGAATTCCTTGTGCAGCGAGAGTTCCGATCTCTCTCTACCCAGTACCTTCGTATGTCCGTACTGATACAACACTCGACGCGGTCGATTCCCGTGGTCGCAGGCTAACTTACCCTAAAAAGGTACACTCAAATATAATGTCCCCGAGGGGTCCGCAAGTCAATAGAATCAACGACAGATATTCTGGAGTCCTCCACTCCCTCTGCGCACTATGCGAGGTAACAACTGAGACTAGGGGAATGAGGTACACCCCCTTGGTTCAATCTTGGTACTTCACAACGCAAGCAGAAACAAGGCCATCTGGCACAGAAAAGAGAGAAAAAGAGACCAAGAGACAAAGAGGAGAAAATAAAAGCAAACAGTAAGGAAAGAGAAAATGAAATAAAAAAAGAGCGAGGACAAAAAGGGACCAGGCCGAAATAACAAGAAATAAGAGACAGAAAAAGGCACACGGTGGAGAGACCACGAACGACAAGCAAATACGCAAACATGGCCACCAACCAGCGATGCATTGTAATGGTACATCATCACTACTAAATAGTGGGGGGTTGGTGCGATGGTGCAGCGTTGGGGGAGGGGGAATTGGCTAAAAGAAATTCAATCCGGCACGTATCCCGCCACTCGGTCCGTCTCTCCTCGTTTGCTTTCTTCCCTCGCCGTCTCGTCCGTCTCGTGCCCCCCTCCCGCCCCATTGGTTGGTGGCTTGGTGGTACGTCTGTGCGGATGGTTGCTACTGTCGGAGGCGGTATGCGCTGCTGCTGAAAATTTCTCTCTCGCTTCTCAGACTGCTGCTGCTGTACTGCTGTAGTACGGCAGTAGTACTACTCCTGTTCAACACCCTTACATATACCCGCGTCCCCATCCCGGTGGATCCCACACATGGCTTCACTGCTGCACCATCCTTGCCGCCGTGCTTTATGTGTGTACACGTATGCATGTAAAATCTTGGACCACGGAGACCCATTCTTGTGGGAAAAAAAAATAGTCACGAAAGGGTTTCACTCGCTCCGCATGAGTTACGTGCGTGCTTTTTCTGCTCTCTTCGCACAGAAAAAGCGGGGTTCGTTCAGGCAGAGAGAGACGTTCTTTTTTTTTTGTTCCGACAATGGTACGCAGTAGGAGACTGCCCTTCAGGTGTTCTGCGTTTTTGCGCTACAGGCTTATGTTCTTTTTGTTATATGCTTGGCGTGGAGCACACACCAGGCTAGATTTCTCCTGATGAGAGAAGGGACGGGACGACAGGGGACGGGCAATACCCCGGCTAGGGCAAGAGGTGGAGCGTGTGGGGTGAGCTAGAGGCAGCTGGCCCGCTGCGCCTGTGCGAAGCGTGTCCCAATGATTGATACAGATAGCGCCTGCAGTAAAGAAAAATTCTGTCAAGACAACAAGGCTTAATTTTTTACGAAAAATATGAAAAAAGGGCTAAGATACAAAGCTCAATCTCGGCAACAAGATAATAAACGTCCCATTAAGAAACATGATCGGGCGATAACCTTAGACAACAGAAGCAAGGGGTAGAGGCTCGGGGAGCGTGTCCAACGAATCGTCCCACTGCTGCTGCTGATGCCATGCTCCCACCCTCATGTCATGTAACCTATTGGCATAGTCGTGGATGCCGTAGTCGCTAGACCATTGACCTCGCATCCCTACAAAGCCGGGACGGAGCACGCCGGGTTCTCACCGGACCGGGCTCTCACATCACCAAGCGCGAAGCGCCGTGAGACATTCGGCGAGTCGCATGAAGGGTGCGCTGCATCCTGCTAAGGGTGTTCGGCATCTTGTGCTTACGTCCTTGCGTACGGATGACAGCTGCGTACATGTATGACATAATTTATGTTCTGGTGCTTTCACTTCCTGAGACAGTTGTAAGCACTGCGTAACTGCCTCGAGGGTGCTTGACCATTTTAACACAACGTGGTGCGATCATCCCCCTTGCGCGGAGTGAGGGTTTTCCACCCCGCACAACATGATCTACTCGACCACCGTTATGGTTACCGCCAAAAAAGAAACAGAGGTAATACAAAACGGTAACCTGGTTGCCGAGCTCACGAAGTGAACTGGCTTGTTTGACAACGTCGTTCCCAAGGGACGAAAACCCAATCCCGATGGCAAACACCGGGGGGGGCGGCGGCTTGTTTTGCAACGTCGTTGCCAAGCAACGAAAACCAAACCCCGATGGCAAACACCGGGGGGGAGGTTGGGGGCGCGTGGTTATTATTGTGGGCGCCCCCCGCGCCCCAGCGCCATCGCGGGCTGCGCTACCCACTGCTGCTGTACTGCTGTTCTCCCACAACCCCCAATCTTCGCCACACACTGACTGAGGTGTCGTTTTTTTGCTGCATGAAGGCGTCGTGCGTTGTTGCTTTCTTCGCCATTAGTAATTAGAAATAATGAAAATAAAGAACCAGCCGGAGGCGACAGCCCACATCAATATGAAATCCGTTTTGAGAAAATGGCCAACTTTGGCTGGTCCTTCTGCCCAGAATAAGAAATTGAGGCTCGCCCCGGTTTTGACGTTTGTTATTTGCGGGCGCTATCTGTACTCCGTGGCAGCGTCCCAAAGGTAGAGTTTTGACAGGTCATATGTCACGCCACTATCTACGACATATTCCATGGTGAGAGCTCTCTACAGCAGAATCGGATCGCGTAAAGCTAGCCGGGTTTCATTGCCGACATTTTGTCCTGAGCCAGGATGGATTTCGCACCCAGCTCGCTGTTGAAAAAAACAGAAACCGCGCGCTTTGTTCTGGGATCGAAAAGTCCAGCACAAGATGTGGTGTCCGACAAGTTCGGAGGAAACTACTTTAGCCCGCTTGGGGTCTGTCCTCCTATATCGTGCGCACGGGCCTCTCCTTGTTGCAACGGATACAAGTATGCTCTTCTGTTCTGGTTTTCACGTGCACCCACACTCAATTGTATCCCCCGCCTGCCCAGAACGCTGACCCCGAGCTCCAGAGCCTGCTCTTCTTCCTGTCCAAGGAATATTACTTGCTGGCGTGCGGCATTTTGCCACGAGTCCATGTCGGCGGGTGTCCCTGTGGACTACGATGTCTGGAAGGTGAAATCTAGGGAGGCACACGCAGAGAGAAGGGGACGTACTCATATTTTGCATGCGTTCGCGGTCAAACCATTACGAAGAGGAGGGATGTTTTCGGCCATCAGACATAATCATATATTATGTCAGTAGAAAAGCAAAAATGAAAAAGGAAGGCGAACCCTGCACAGGCACACTGCAACGAAAGACACACCTGCTTGTGTATATGTGCGGGGAGTGGACAAGATGTAGTGTTTGCTTGTGAAGGCAATCTCGTTTGCCAGTGTGCAAACAGGGCGAGATCTATGTGCATCTGCACACTTCGAAAGCTCGCCTTGACTTGTTGAAAAATAGCAGTATTAGGTGGAGTATCAGCTTGGAGAACACCGCAAGTCCACGAGGTTATGCATCACTTTAAGGAAACATTCAGTTCCAACTGATGATTCCGTTTGTCAACGAGAAAAAAACACTTCTTGGTGTGTAGAACACATGGCCGAGGTACTCCACGCAGAGAAAATTATTTTTTCGTGTGCCCATTGGTCATTTCGTCCCGAGGCACGTGCTGCGCACGACGAGCGTCAAGATCTAGCAATAATCCTTCACCTACCTGCTTTTCATACATACATACATGTCGAATGTTTTGTTACTCACTGGTGATTTGGTCTTTTCTCTTAACAAACAGTGCGGTTGCCCGAAAATGTTTTACAGGTATGGCCAGGGGAGTGCGAAACCCTATATATTGCGGTCAGTTTTTTCCTCGTGTCGAAATTGTGTGTGGGGTGGACTGCCGCAGACCCTACTGTCGTTCAGCCGGAAATTGGAACCCTCTATGCGTGACTTTTATCCGTATCTGAATCCACATTGTGAGCCGATATTTGAGACACAGGGATTACGACAAAAAGGTAAGAGAGCAAGCGGCAACGAAAGACCGCACGGCATGGAAAGGAGAGAAGACTTATATCTGAGATGAGTAGAAAAAAAGTTGGAGTCAGACTGAATGGACGGGGGACGAGGCGACTAGAGAACGAACGCACAACACACCCCTCTTAAGACAGTGCGAGAGAAAACGCATTCGTGTAGACTATGCGTGTTACCGTGACCTAATAACGCATAGGACACCCCGTCCTCACCCCATCGTATCGAGAAAACCATGTTTGGGGTAGCCGGTGCGGTCGGTGTGGTACACGGAGCCTCTCGGGGCGGGTACAGTTTGATCTGATGATTGGGGAGTCACGGAGTCACCTGTGCCTTGGGGCTTTCATGTGCGCCTCTGCTCGGGCTCTGCGCATGTCAACAAGACTCAAGCTGCGATTATTGGAAGCAGGTCGCTAGACTACATGTTCACACGGATCGGCTACTGGTAGGTAGGGTGTATATAACGTCTGGTCACGACCTCCGAATATATAAATACATGCGCTAGCCCCCTGGTGTCTGCCGTTGGGTGCCAATTCCCATTTAATTTCACAATGTGTGGCGTTCTGCAGCAGTGGAGGTGGCGGTGCTGCTGTAGCTCGTAGACTTTGTAGTCTACCACAGAGGTTACACTGCTGTCACCG